AAAAGAATTTAAGTGAGTTTCAGCACTCTTGTGTCAAATGTACTAATCTGTAGAGAGAAGACAGTGCAGAGCTGGCCTGGAGCACAAGGGCCTGGGTCAGTATTACAGACCCTAAAAAAGTCATCGTGATGGAAAAAATAAGAGAATTTTGTTTGTTTGTTTTTGTTTTTGTTTTTGAGTTGGAGTCTCACTGGGTTGCCCAGACTGGAGTGCAGTGGCCATTCCCGGCCACCGCAGCCTCGACCTGCTGGGCTCCGGCGATCCTTCTGCCTCAGCCTTCCAAGTAGCCGGAATTACAGGCATGCGCTACCACGCCCGGCTGATTTTTTTATTTATTGCAGAGATGAGGTCTCGCTGCCCAGGCGGGTCTCGAACCCGCGGGCTCAGGCAATCCACTCACCTCAGCCTCCCAAAGGCGCGGGATTACAGGCTGAGCCAACGAGCCCGGCTGAGAATTTTTTTTTTCCTGGAGAAGCTTGTACTTAGATATTAGATGAATAAGAGATTGAATTATAAACACAACCTCTAAGATTGTGCCTATAATCCGTCTCCAATTTGTACTGTCATTTATGCCCAGGAATCATATCAATGTATACACTTGCCCTGTATGTCTTACAGCCTAATTATCTAAATGAAATTTGGTTAAATAAAAATTGATATCTTTGTATACAGAGTTTATGGTTACATAAAAGGCAAAAACTATTTCTAACGTTTAATTAAAAAGGAAAAAAATATATCAAAAGAGTAATTGAAGAAGTTTCTGAAGTTGCCTGGTCCAGGCTTACTTGTACAAACGAGAAATCCCAGAGTGACTCAGATGTCTGTTTCTTCCAGGCCTCCTTCCAGTGAGGAGCAGACTGGGAACCAGGTACCAGACCCCCAGACTCCCAGGCACTCCTGCTTCTGTCATCTGGAATCGGGGAGGGCAGGATGGCTCATTTGCCAAATGGGGAAACAGCATCATCTAGTGGCAATTTTTCAGAGTATTCTAGATGTGCTGTGATTCAACTCCATCTATGGGGGTTGAAAGAACACCTGGCTTGCCCATCTCTGCCATCCCTAATTTTTCAAGACAACAATTCTGGACCTTTTTCTCATGTTTTCCAGAGCCCAAGCATCTCACTGTGGAGCCCTCACCCTCAGCCCCCTTGCCTGCTGGCATGTTTCAATCTCTTCTCATGCCAGTCTTTCCAACACAGCCCCAAGAATTGTCTGCCTCAAGGCCATATCCATCAGGGGCTATTGTCCTTTGAATGCTTCGTGATTCACATTTTCAGCAAAATAGCACTCTTAGTCATGGCCTCGGGGCTTTCACCAACTGGTGTGGCAAGTTTCATCATTTCTTATGAAGATCCAGACTGTGCTTTTCATTCAGGCATGCTGATATGATGCTTGCCTTTCCCCACCTACTACCAAATTAGGACACTTTGGCAGTCTTCAAAATAACTCTGGGTTTTACTCGGGAGAGGTCTGTGAGCAAGTGTGTGGACAAGCTTCAGTCAAGTGTATCTATTCATCCATCTTTTATGTTCTCAACCTTTTGCTGGACCAGTCCCACTGTGTTCCAGGGGCCAGGCATCCCCCTACCCTCAGGACCCTAGAAAAAAGAACACATAAACAAGTCACTGTCTCATGTGATAAACACTATTTTTTTCTTTTTTTTTTTGAGTTGGAGTCTCACTCCACCGCCCAGGCTGGAGTGCAGTGGCACACTCACAGCCATTGCAGCCTCAACCTGCTGGGCTCAGGTGATCCTTCGGCCTCAGTCTTCCAAGTAGTTGGAACTACAGGTGTCTGCTACCATACCTGGCTAATATATATATATATATATATATATATATATATATATTTTTTTTTTTTTTTTTTTTAAATTGTAGAGATGAGGTCTTACCATGTTGCCCGGACTGGTCTTGAACCCATGGGCTCAGGCAGTCCTCTTGCCTCAGCCTCCCAAAGTGCTGGGATCATAAGCTTGAGCCACCATGTCCGACTGATAAATGCTCTTTTTAAGAAAGCATAAAGGGAAGGAGAAATTTAATTCTGCTGAGGTTAGAAAAAGCTTCACAAAAGAAGAAACACTGGATTCGAGTTTTGAAGTAGGTAGATCTTTGGTTTCTGAAGATGTGAATGTGGCATGCTGGGCAGGGGGAACAGCAGTGACAACGGATCAGAGTTAGAAAGGGATGTCTTATGATAAAGGCTCCAAGGCCCAAGAAGAGGACAGATGGGAAGTGATGTGGAAGGCAGTTCAGGACTAGAACAGAAAGATGCTCAGATACCATCATGGAGAACTTGGACTCTAGAAGTAATTAGACACTGTCAAATCATGTGCCACAGCATAAAGACTGCATGAGGTCTCTAGGAAATAAAGTATTGCACTTAATCCAAGCACTTTGAAGGTATTTTCTTCATAAAATGGTCTCCTCATTTCTCAACTGATGAAACAAGAGTCCCTGAAAATAAATTGTTTGTCAATGTGGGGGCAAGAACACAGAACTGTTGTCTCTCAGTCCATCACTTTGTAGTAAAGAGTTAACTAAGAGTATGAAATATTTATTAGAATAAAATAATTTTAAATTAGAAACGTTCTAGCTTCCCCTCTAATTTTGTTCTTATATAAATCCTCTGAAAGTATTAAATATTTACAATTGTCCTTTTTAATCATATCATCCTCACCCAACATTTGAAAGCACTTATATGAGAAATAGAAACTTTTCAGACTAAAAGAGGTGATGAGCTGGGTTCGGTGGCTCAGCCTGTCATCCCGCGCCTTTGGGAGGCTGAAGTGAGTGGATTGCCTG